CCAACATGTTCACCTACTCTTCCGTCCTGAGAGCCTGCGGCTGCGTCTCCCATCTCGTCCAGCTCCATTCTTGCATTTACAAACACGGACTGGAATCCGATGTCTTCGTGAGGAGTGCCCTTATCGACGCTTATTCCAAATGGGGGCTCCCACAAGAAGCACTCTGCGTGTTCGACGAAATGCCTACCGGGGATTTAGTAATTTGGAATTCCGTCATTGCTGCTTTTGCTCAAAACAGCAACGGCCACGAAGCGCTCCGTCTTTTCAAAAGCATGAAGAGAGCTGGCTTTGACCCCGAGCAATCTTCACTGACCAGCGTTCTCACTGCATGCACCAGCTTAGCACTCTTGGAGCTGGGGAGACAAGCTCATGTCCACGTATTCAAGTACCATCAGGACTTGATCCTCAACAACGCCCTCCTCGATATGTACTGCAAGTGTGGCGGCGTGGAAGATGCCAACACCATTTTCACCCGGATGGCAGACAAGGATGTCGTCTCTTGGAGCACCATGATTGCCGGGCTGGCCCAAATTGGTTACAGCAGAGAGGCACTCAAGCTGTTCGACTCGATGAAAGGTTCGTCCACACAACCGAACTACATCACACTTCTTGGTGTTCTTTTCGCCTGCAGCCATGCTGGGCTCGTGGAAGATGGCTGGTGCCATTTCCGATCAATGAAGAAGCTTTACGGGATTGAACCTGGCAGAGAACACTACTCCACAAGATGCGGGAAGCTACATACTCCTGTCGAACATCTATGCAAACGCTGGAAGGTGGGATGATGTGGCAGGAATTCGGAAGGTGATGAACGAGAAAGGGATCAAGAAACAACCTGGATACAGCTGGATGGAAGTGGGTAAACAGATTCATACTTTCGTTCTTGGAGATGAGTCTCATCCGCAGATCAATGAGATTAAGATCCAGCTGGAGTCGCTGATTCAGCGACTCGTGAGAGCTGGTTATGTCCCTGATTTGAACTTTGTGATGAAGGATTTGGAAGGAGAGGAACAAAGGGGAGATTGTCTGAGGTACCACAGCGAAAAGCTGGCGGTGGTGTTTGGTTTAATGAATTTGCCCAAGGGACAAACTGTCCGGATCAGGAAGAACCTCAGGATATGCGGCGACTGTCACCTATTTGTGAAACTTGCGTCGAAGTTGGAGAAGAGGACAATTGTGATTAGGGATCCCATACGGTACCATCATTTCCATGATGGAGCTTGCTCTTGTGGAGATTACTGGTAACGAAGTTGTGGGAAAGATAAGGCAAAGGAATCAGTAAAACTTAGGTTCTTTGTTGATGTAGATTAGCCAACTGAATTGCCCTTATAGGTAACCAGTTATGTGTTTTTTTGTTCTCATTTCTCAGTACTTGCTTGCATTGGTTCATGTGGGGTATTGAAAAAAAGTTGTGTATATGTGCAGGGGAATCGTTGGGGTTGTTAAGATGCTGATGCAGGGTCAGAGGTAGTTGCAATGAGACATACAGAAACATGTATTTATGCTCATCTTTATATCCATTTTGCGATAACAAGAAAGAAGAGAGTTTAACATGTTCATTCACCGAACGATCAATGGATTGCCATGGTCTCTACCAAAGTCTCGCACAAACTGCATTTATGGACTGCAATGCCCCTTCATTTTTTTACCGCAGATCAAATAACCTGTCGTTGGGGAGTCAAACAAGAGCTAAAACAACTCACTGCCGATTGTAAGTTTGTTTCCATTGTGCCAATCTCAGAAATATAGTTAGCCAGACTAAACTGATTGATCAACCTAGAGCTAGACAGATAGAGAGCTTCATGACTTTTCCATTCTCATTTTTTATATGTTACACTGTACTCGGTTACTACTTTACAGTCTTATCTGACAATAATTGTCATTCTGCAGTTGTCCAAGCCCCCTTTCTATCGCTTTTGAAAAGATTTCTGCTTTGGACATTTATTTGGCATTGAATTGATATTATTCTATTCTAAGTAGATGGATTCTACGATAAATTCATGGAAAGGTTTGGAAATACAACAGTTGTTTGGAAAGTAAGTTCATGAATTTTCTAATTCCCCTGGTCCCTTCTCTGAATTTTAGGAAAGACATAGATTTAAGGTTAGTGCCTGATTCATATGAAACTGTAAGTTGTCTAATCCTATTTTAGCTTATGGAAACTTGGATTTCCTTACTTTTCTTTCTTGATTACCTTTAGGTTACTTTGATTCACCGAGATCAATGGAGCTTACTTCAATTTTGTAGTGAAAGCATTTATTCCACTCTGTATTTCCAAGTCTTCCAGTTAGATTGCGATGATGACTCAAGTTGGTTCTAGAGTTAGAAGGTACCGCGTTGATCGATCTTTACTGATGTTATAACCTGTCAACGAAAAGCTCCTCCCTTAGCATACCTTGGATGGGAGTCAAAAGCTTTCCAGTGTCACTCTTTTAGTGTCCTCCTTTGTTGGTGAATTTATTGTGATGGGTTCTCCTCAGACTTTGGTTAAGTTAGTGAATTTGATGTTATTAGTTAATGTGTTTTCAGTCAATGCATGGTGTTATTAGTTAATACTTTTTTGTTAATGAATTTCTCATTTTAAAACATCATATGTTGGATTAAGGCAGTCCTTGGTTTCAATTCGATGGCTAAAAAAGAGTTATTGCTTATACAACTTCTATTACTTCTGCTATATTTCCAGGCTTTACAACCTTGTTTGGAAATCAGCCTGACGTAGAGACTGGTAACGAAGTCTTGGGAAAGACAAGGCAAAGGAGCCAGTAAATTCTAGGTTCTTCGTTGATGCAGGTTATTAAACTGAATTGTAGTTAACCAGTTATGTCTGTATTATTTATTCTCAGTTCTCAGTACTTGCTTAGTTGCTTGCATTGGTTCATGTGGGGTATCAAAAAAAAGTTTATGCTGTCTGTTCTTCATTTCAGTGCATCGTAAATCCTATTATCTCTTAGTTGGAGTATTCTATTCGATCGCTAGATTGCTTTCATTGTGTTGCAGTTAGCTTGCATCCTCTGGTAATGATTGGCAAATGGCAAGTAAAATTTGGCATTTGGATGTGGATTTCTTTTTAGTCGATTGGGATTCAATTAGTTAAGAAAATTTGACTACTGGTTTTAGGTCCATGGACTCTTATATATGAAGTTCCTGTTGTGTCATTTCCCTGATATACTCATGCTGTGCTGATTTAGTCCCTTGGTCTGGATATTAGTTAGTATATATAAAAGTGTGAGTATGCAGTGGGTTTCCTAGTTAAAGATTGCAATGACCAAAGGCAGAACCAGATTGCGTTGCTGAATCAGAACCCTTGACATGATCCATATAGCTTTCAGCTTATGCTCTTATTTTGGGTTATTTGTCTTCTTTGGAAATATAACACTAAGTGTTGTCATCTTCATTGATAACATCTGCTGCATAAAAAATTCTTCTGACTATCCAGGGTAATCACCTGTATCCCTTCTGATTGTTGGTTTTGATAAGAAGAAAGAGAACGGACGAAAAAGGAAGAACCCAACTTATGGGTAGCCGAGTGAATGCATCACAAAGAAGCTTTACAGAGTGAGTTCGCTCCGAATCCTGGAGAATCTCCATATGCAGCAAAGAAGAAAAGGAAGCTTCAGGGAGTTCAAGAGATGAACTTGATACTAGCCCAAATTAGCAGTGTTCAAGAAGACGCGATTAATCTCTCGCTTAGGCGCGATTAATAGCTAGACAAAAGGAAATCGTCCCGTCTAGCCCTGGGCGATCGATCTAGGCACCTAGGCACTCGGAGGCGCGTTTTCACTCTGGTGGGCGACGCCCAGAACAACTAATAAAGGAAAAAAGTATAGCCTTTTCGTGAAAATCTCAAACCCTATTCTAATTTCCCATTTCCATTCAACCAGCCGCTCCCCCTCATCGACCAGCAGTGAGATCCCTTTTCATGGTTGGCGACTTAAGATGTTTGGGATTGTGGAAAAGGGTTGGATGTGTATATGAATGGATGAATAATGATATGGGGACTTGGATTTTTGTGGAATATGGCTTATCTATCATTTTTTTTTTCAACGTTTAATCTCGCATAGGCAACGACTAATCGGCCTGGGCGCTGGGCGGTACCTCCTCGCCTAGATAGCGCCTAGCGTCTTCTTGAACACTGCAAATTAGACATGTAGGTAAAGTGGAGTGATTATCAAGCAGTCTACAGATTTAAGCACCAGTTTGAGGTACTTTCAATTTGATTGTTGTGCTTTAGAAGGGAGTTTTTCCTTACACTTTATATCTGTTATCTTTACTCCATTTGCATGTGGGTTTCAGAAGTCCCTCTTGATTTTCTTGGGGTTGTATGCAATCTTTAGGTTTTGCAGGGTCGAGAATTCCAAGACAGCAAGACTATACAACTTCGGAAGAGACTGATAGCTTTATGGTAGTATCTTTAATACAATTAGCAAATACTCTTCATTTTCATAGGATTCAGTTACCCAACTGTCATATCACTTAGGTGCTTATATTTTGAAGAATATATTTAGTGTAGAGTTGTTTTTCCTGAATGACCATAGTGTTTGGAGGAACATGCTTTATTTGTGTAAAAACTCTCTGTACTTTACTCTAATTCACTATTGAATTTCAATGATCTATTGTTCCTATGCTAAACTGCAGAGAGGACACCTACTTTGATTGATTTTGGTACATCACAATATTACCTATCCTTTCAAACGCCATAGGAAATTTTTCTATGATTATCTGTTCATTACTGCATATCAGATGAGCCACCATTTGCTTGCAACACCAGAAATCTATTAACACAGCCAATCATGCAATCTGAATAATTCTGAGTTCACTTTAACAAGAAACGAAGGGATACACATCACAAATTGAGATTGTAAGCTAAGAGCAAAGGATATATTCACAATGCCAAGTTCGACAAGTAGAAGGTAAAATCTAGTCCTGCTTACTATTCTTCTTCTCCAACTTATTGATTAAAATGATAAAAGTGGTCAATGTTACAACAAGGGCTTAAAAACAACCTACAGCTCATCTTTGTGGTCCTTGGAAGCACCAGTATGCTCCGAAGATGTAAAAGCTCTAATTATCAATTCGTACACCTCAATGCCTTTCAGATACTCGGCTTGGCTCAAGAACTGCAGCAAGTAACAATGCCACGTTACGAATGCTGGGGAAACATAAAGCAATAGCAGTGCTGGTTGGTAATGTTCAACAAGTCTCGAATAGCTTCAAAGACTCTATAATCTAAGAGTATGCATAACAACCAAAAACCTCAAATCAAGCATGGTTCTCCGATCGGCAAAGACAATGGTCGTGACAGCAGAGAAACAATCTCAATAGACTTCCTAGTGGATGTACTGAAGAAAACTTACTCATTCATGGAACAGGAAATCAATGAAAGAGCTGGCAGCTAGAAACAGTACCTCATTATGATCATGCACAAGAACAGGTGTATTGGCCATTGGGGAGAAGCCGATGGCTGGTAGACCCCATTCTCGGAAGTAGCGAGAGTCTGTTGCTGCAGGAAAGATTTCTGGCTTACCAAGCTTTCCGTCGGCTTTCGCTACAGCTTCCTCGAGCAGTATCCACCACGGGTTTGAACTCCCTGTTTTTGTAAGCTTGGGCTTCCCTTCCTTGTCATACACGGAAGCCTTTTGCTTGAACTGTCCAAGCTAAAAGAAAATTAGAGAATAACACAAACAGAAAGCATGCAAGCAAATACTATGATACACTTATCATTGTTCTCTTCTCCTGACTGTGTTAGCTATCAGCCTATCACCATTCATTGGAGCTAATAAGGAGAGCATCATCACCTGGAATGTCATGTTGCGTGAAACAGGCGCCCACTCTTCGTTGATCCGCCTCTCCAACGATTCAGGATCAGCAGTTGGCGGGATACGAATATCGAAACCTGCTTCTGCTTCAGATGGTTGCAGGTTCATGACAAACCCCTGGGGAAGACAGTACAACAGCGGATGGTTGAAGAAAGCCATTTGAAGAAACATCCGATACAAGCATTGTGAAAGCAAGGAAAGGAGAGTTACAGTTGGAGAAGGAGTGCCAGCCTTAAGGAAGGCCGTGTTAATCGAAATGACCTCCCCTTCAGCTCTCAATCCAGTTTTCACCAAATCAAATTGAGATGCCCTAAACCTCCTGATTGACTCGATGCTCTTGAACAGATTCTCCACGGCGCTGTTGTCATAAAGCTTAGCTCCATGGCCGGGAGCTCCGACGGCCTTAATCACCAGCCACCAGGGGCTCCTTTCAGCGTAGAACGGTCTGTAACTGTCACCGGGAGATGCCAGCCCTGGTTTTCTCTTCCCCGATCAGCATAACGAGAAAAATAACAACACTCCGCCCTAGCAATCGGTAAGTAAGTTAGTTCAACTTAGTTATGCTGCTCACAGCATAAATTGTGAGTAGATACTCACACGGTGGATCTATTGTCCACGAGGGTGAGACTCAGATAGCGCCGGTTTGGGTTGAAAAAAGTGAGTTGGTTTAGGTTGGCTGGCCAAACCCACGACTGATCCACCACAAATTCAAAAACCACAAATTCAAAAACCCACCACAAATTCAAAAACCATAAATTCTTTCCCCAGGTCAGTTTCTCCGCCAGAACCACTTTCCCCTCTCTCCCGCTTTTCCCCTCTCTCTCACTTTCCTCCTCTCACGAACACAACGAAGAAGCAACGATTTCACGGCGACCACCAGCGAAGCGGCGGCGACGGACCTGCGAAGCGGCGACGAGCGCAGCGGCGGCTAGGGTGCAGCGTAGCGGTGGTTGGTTTCGGCGGCGGCGACGAGGGTCCAGACTAATCGGCGGCGACGAAGGGCGGGGTTTCGGCGGCGACGAAGGGCGGGGTTTCACGGCGACGAAGTAGCGGCGGTTGGTTTGACGGCGGTTGTTGAAGAAAGAACTACTTTGTGGACTAAGGTAACTGTCTTATTTATTCTGTTCGGCAAGATATGCATTCTGTTCCTTCTGGATATCCGTTGTTTATTGCCTAGGTTGTTGTTTGATGTATCTTGATATTGGTTTTGTTTGAGCATGATATCAGTTATGACTTTCTTGGATAGTTGTTTGATAGGATCTGCACAAGAAGCAGCTCGAGGTCAAAGCAAGGCGAGGTACAGATTTCGGTGCACTCTAAATCTCTGCTACATGTTATAATCTGTTTTGTGTGCGTTCCGATATTATTTATTTTGATTCTGGATATCCATTGTGTTTTGCTTGGATTGTTTCTTTGATATATCTGGATATCCATTGTGTTTTGCTTGGATTGTTTCTTTGATATATCTGGATATTGGTTTTTACTCAACATGATATGGGTTCTGACTTGCCTGGATAATTGTTTGATATATCTGGATATTGGTTTTTAATCAGCATGATATCAGTTGTGACTTGCCTAGATAATTGTTTGATATATATGGATATTGGTTTTTATCAGCATGGTATCATTTGTCACTTGCCTGGATAATTGTTTGATATATCTGGATATTGGTTTTTAATCAGAATGATATCATTTGTGACTTGCCTGGATAATTGTTTGATATATCTGGATATTGGTTTTTGATCAGCATGATATCAGTTGTGACTTGCCTGGATAATTGTTTGATATATATGGATATTGGTTTTTGGTCAGCATGATATCAGTTGTGATTTACCTAGATAATTGTTTGATATATCTGGATATTGGTTTTTAACCAGCATGATATATGTTGTGAATTGCTTGGATAATTGTTTGATATATCTGGATATTTGTACGTGCAGGGATAAAACGAACGTGAAGAGACAACGATGAAATCCACCGCCGTCACCACCGCCACAGCCAGAGGAGGATGAAGAAGAAGAAGATGTTGAAGTCGCAGCGCAAGTACGTGCACAAGGAGTAAAGACTTTTAGATAGGGTTCAGTTTTCAAATACTGATTTTGTATCCGATTGAAGATGTTAGGAGTAAAGACCTTTGCCGCATGTTGTAGGAACGGGCTATCCTCCATCATAATATAAGGAACCGATTGTTTCCCATTGTAGTCTGACTCAGTCTCCTTGCGTCTTTTTTCAGCCAACAAACTACATTTACAAAGCACGAGAAAGAGTTTAGTGCCCAGACTAATATCCATTCAAACCAATACTAATATCCCAACTAAACAAAGTAATATTTAACAATAGCATATAAATATCCGGACAACGCTGACAAATATCCAAAATTTAAGTAGACTAATATCAAAGAAAGGCAAAGAAATATTCTGCGTACCTGCTAAAGTGAATGAAAAACAAGTCCAAATCATTTTCAAGAAAAGTCGCACTTGTGCATTGCACGACTCGCTGGCTTGCGTAGTCAACATCCCGACTGTGAATTGATCTCTCAACCATAAGGAACACCATCGACGACGAAAACCTACAAACATCCCTGCACAAGACAACTATTAATGACAATGCATAACTGAACGAGTGTCGAAAAAACTTATGGGAATTAGGAATTGATATTATGCCAACACATGTCAACAAATATCTGTAAAACCCAGACTAGTATCTCATAGTGTCATACCAATATTCGTCCTTTTACAAAAACGTATCCTGTCAGGCCATATCAATATCGGCCCAAAAAACTGTTTTATGAGCCTTCGGCCCATGGGCCCTCGGCGGGCAGCCCTTACTAGGCTGCAAGCCACCAGACCCGAATTGTTCCTTCATATTCAACTTCCCGCCCAAAATTTCGGGCCGCCCCCACCAGACCCGAATTATTCCTTCCTTCTCCAATTTCCCGCCCAAAATTTCGGGCCGCCCAAAAAGCTGCCCACCTCCCGCCCAAAATTTCGGGCCGCCCAAAAAACTACCCACTTCCTCCGCCCAAAAGTTCGGCTCGCCCAAAAAAGGGAAACGGCCCCCCTCCTCTCTCCTCGGCTGATATATGTGTCTGTGAGTATCTACTCACAGTTTAACCTGTGAGCAGTTTAACTTTTGCGAAGTTAGTTAGTTTACCTTCGTCGAGGACGACGCCGACGTTCAAGGCGTCGAAGACATCGGAATAGGCGAACTTTTCGGCGCCATCGTGGCCGTCGATTTCTTCATCGGGGGAGAAGGCGAGGTAGACGGATCGGCGGGGTCGGAATCCAGAGGCCTTGAGGCGGCGGACGGCCTCGAGGTACTGCATCCCGACGCACTTCATGTCCTGGGAGCCTCTGGCGAAGATGCGGCCGGAGGAGGGATCGAGGTGGGCGGAGAAAGGAGGGTGGTCCCACTTGTGTGGTTCGGCGGGGACGACGTCAGTGTGGGAGTAGAGGAGGATGGAAGGTAGGTCGGGGTCAGATCCGGGCCAGTGGATGAGGACCAAGGGTTTGCCATGGACGAATTCGATGGAGCGGGATGGGAGGGAGATGGAATCGGCTTGAGAGATGAGGAACTCGGCGGCGAGGTGGTAGTCGGGAGTGGGCTGGGCGGTGTTGATCTGGAGGTATTGCTGGAATCGGGAGATGATTTGGGAGGGTGAGGAGGAGTCTCCGGCCGCCACCGACGGCGGTGGAATTGTGAACAAGAGGAGGAAGCAGCAGAAGCAGAGTAGAGTAGGGGTGTACATGGGTCGGGTGGTCCGGGTTTAGGCATTTTAATCACCCGATCCATGCACTACGGTTTGGGAAATATTAAACCCAAACCCACCCAAAAAAATCTAAACCCTACGGTTTGTTTCCTATTGGGTTGGGTCGGGTTGGCAAATATTTAAGTAAAAACCCAACCCAACACAAAATATGTAATTATTCTACATCATAAAAATATTTTATAACAAATTAAAAATTCAAATGAATAAACCGAGGTGAAATGTATCAAAATCCACAAATATTGTTTGAATTTAAATAAAACTTGATTTACTTCAACTTATGTCTAGTTTTTTTCATGACATTTGTTGAAATAGGCTAAAAAGGTTACAAATGAACGCATCCATAATATGATATTCTTTTAAAATTGTAACAAGAAAAAAAAATTACGTGAATCATAGCTATATTAAATATATGTCTAAACTTTAAGTCGAAGAATGCATTAGATTAGTGAGACTTTAAGAAAAAACATGGCGAAATATCTTAATTTTCTCATAAGTATGACTATATACGACATAAATATTTTTTTGGATACGAACTTATACCAATAATTGGAACACGGGTTGGGTCGGGTTCTACGGGTTGTGTAATCTAAAATCCAAACCCAACCCAAAAGAGGCGGGTTGTACAAAAGAAAACCCTCACCCAACCCAAAACCTTCGATTTAGCGATAAATACGGGTGGGTTGGGTCGGGTTGGACGGATGGGTCGGTTTGCGGGTGTGTTTGTTCACCCCTAGAGTAGAGTGTGACTAGTAGGCTTGATTGGCGTCGCCATGGTGTGGCGGCGAGAGTGGCAAATCCGTAAAGATTGGTTAGAACTTAGAAAGGTTCCTGGCTAAAGGGTAAGCTAAGGCCAGCTTAGCCCCAACTAAAAAATATATATATATATAAACATGTAGCCTAATTATTGAATTTTCTAATCTTCAATAATTGTGTTATGTAAATTCTAAGCATATGAACTTTGTTTTTCCACAATTTAATAATTCAAAATTATTATGTTTTCCCTCGATGATTATCAACGGATAATCTAAGTCTCCACTATTAATGTTTGATCTTATCGTGACTTACTAGATCCATTAGCAACTAAACATACCTTATGTTCATTAATGATGTTTTCACTCATTAAGAACTACATCGCGTACTATGGTGGTTCATAATTATACCACCATCATATCAAGTTAGTTATTGAGGTGATACAAAATATATACTATGTTAGTATAACTGTATAGCAGTGTTGTACATGGATGTGATACGCGATCGTGCTCATGTTTCCTTGATGAAAAAAATGAATTATTTAAAATCAAAACGAACATCATTGTGTATATCACAAGAATCGATTTGTTTTTGTGCAAATTCAAATGAAAAATGTAGGTTTAATTCACCTGCGTAGCCATAACTTTCGCGATTTTGACAAATATAGCCATTTTTTGAAAAATACACAGATATAGCCATTCCGTCTATAACTTTAACGGAATAGTAATAAATGCTGACTGTACTAACGATTTTTGCTGACATGGCGATTGTTCATAAAAAACTATGCCTAGATGTAAATTATTCTTTTTTAATTAATTGAAAATTTCTAAAAACTACTATTCCCTTCCGCCGCTTATGCTTTTCCTCTTCCTCTTCCTCGCAACTCTCAACCTCCCACCTCTATTCTGCCGTGTCTTCAAGCTCCCCTCCCTCAATTGATTCAAGAAACCAGATCGCCTTGAAAAATCCCAAATCGTTTGAATTTTCACCATCAATAGCTCCATTGAAGCTCTGTAGACTTCTTCCCCTTCCTCTTCTTCTCTCGTCGCTGCCAATTCTTCAGCCGCATCCACCAGCTCCGTAGCCGACCAGAAGCAAGCGAGCTAGAGGACTCGACGCGGGCGAACTGCGTTCTGTGACGACAAGGATCGAGACGACGAGGGCTGGGGTGCTTCAATCCGGCCAAGATTACAAGAAAGAGAAACCCATTTAATAGGGAGAGAGAGGTCTGCGGCGCCGGCGGTGGGAGGGAGGAGTGAAGGAGGGAATACGTTGAGCTTGGAGGGTTTGAGTTTTTGGATTTTGGGTTGCTGTGAAGCTTGGTGGGTTCTAGGTTTCTGGGTTCCACAACATCCCCACACCAACATCGATTTTTTGTTCGTTGAGATTCCAATGTCGCTGGTTCTGGGTTTTATGGGGACACTGGGTTCTTTATTATAGTGGCAGGCTGGCGGGAAGGAGTGGCGACTTGCAGTAAGGGGGAGCCTGTCTCCATATCTGCACTTTGGATCGGCGACGGAGCTGTGGGTGCTGAGGGAGGGGTGGCTGCTTCGACGATCTAGAGCGAGCAGGGTCGTTCTCATTCATGGCCGGGATTCGAGAGCATCGGTAGCGGAGGAGTCTAGGATATTTCAATCCTGCCGCTACTAGTGTGAAATAGCCCAGGATAATTGATGGGGAAAGAGAGAGGGTTTGAAGGGAGGAATCATGAATTTGGATATGGTGAAGAAGGGGGAGGGAAATTTGGGAAGACAAGCAGCGCAGTGGGAAGGGATGAATGAATAGAGAGAGAGAAAATAAAAATAAAATAATTTATTTCTTATAAAATGTTTTATTTTAATTTTTTAGTAAAATTAGTTATTTTTTGTTTAAAAATCTACTTTTAATATGACGTGGCGTATGACATGGCGTCTAGGTGGCATGAATATGTCTAGTTGGTGATGACGTGTCATGCAAGTGGCATTCACCTCAGCGACACGTAGATGTTATTGACGGCGTCTATGACGATGTTATAATTTGTAACGGAAATGGCTAAAGTTGACAATCAAGTTAAAAAAAAGTGGCTATATCTGTGTATTTTTCAAAAAGTGGCTATATTTGTCAAAATCGTGAAAGTTATGGCTATGCAAGTGAATTAAACAAAAAATGTATAAACCAATCAAAGATAATAGGGGACTTGAAGAAAGAGTACTATGTGGCATGATTTGGTTGAATAGATAAAAGAAAGAAATAATTAAATAATAAATTATCCTCTTTACATATTTAAAATAATTATATATTTAATAGTACGTCATTAGTAAAATATATATATAATTAATTATTTTCAAAATAATAAATGTCTATATGTTCTGTTTAGGTTATTAAGTACACGTGTTGTATGATTTGTATATATTTTTAGCATAGTTAGTAAAATATGATACGCTATAAAATAAATACGAGTATTTTACTTTATCTCTAAACTAATATTATGTTTAATAGTACTAGCTTTTTACCCGGCCCGTTGGCCGGTGAGTTTCATTTTATCATTTATATTAATCAATTTATCTATGTTTAAACTATTTTGGATCTTCTACATTTTTTACATTTGCATTCATGCGTGAGTATGCGGTGCGTCTGTAAATTAAAAATTCTCAATGCTTAGCACGTTCACTTATGATGTTTCAATTCTCTGATCATAAATCATGTCACAAAGATATATCACGATACTCAAATGCGTGAGTATGTGGTGCGTCTATAAATTAAAACAACGATACTCAAAAAAATTTATCTTATACAATATATGTCATTCAATGAATCTCGAGTTTAAACAAACTCTTAACCAATGATGTTGCTCAGATGACGACAACTTAGTTAGAATGTTTTTATAAAGGTACTTCAATATTAGGTAAATTTGGTCATCCCAATTGAAAGTTTATTGTCTTATTGTAAGATCATATCTGTCGATCAAGACACTCAATTTAATATCTTATACAATATGTACCAATTGTTAATTCCTTAAGTTTAATTTAGACTCACTCTCAACGAATGATCGTTGTTTAGATGTTGGTTTAGAATCTCGGTCCAAGATACTCACACACTGTCGAGGGTTCTAATCTTAACATGGTCCATTGGTGTATAATTTTCTAACTTATCAAATATGCATTTGCTTAAACTTATACTAATACCTTCATTTTGTTGGTGTAATGCCACATCTATTGTCAATATCTAAGCATGATACTATACTCTAAGTAAGAACGCTATCTGGACCACGAATTAACAGGATTTGTGGGCATGATACTATACCCTAATTCTTGATGAGTGAACCCTATGTCTTAGTTATCTAAATCATAGAGCTTAACCCCTAAGATTGTGCATGTAATATGTTGCATATATTTTGACGAAGCATGACCGTTGATTTTTGTTTAGAATTAAATTGATCTTAGGGTATGAGATTTACAAATTTAAGACCTAGATTTTAATCTTGAAGGGTTTGAGAATAATACCATATGCCAAACTCCAGTCAATTCAAGGTCTAGATATCATTTTCTTACTCAAAGTATGTCATAATATACATATATAAATATAAAGAGTTTAATGTATTTTTAAGTGTAATTAACACCTTTGTTTGACCGAAATATGTAAACTATTAGAAAAAATAAGGGGAAATATGAACAAATGTAAGAGAAAATAAGGTATGGAAGCATGCATTACGCTACAATAGACTAATGTATTTGAATCAAACATGTAACTTTTTTTTAACCCGAAAATATCTTATTTAAGCTTACTAAGTAAACTTTTTACTCATTTTTACTAAAATTTAAAAATATGTTACATTTTGATGAACAATTTATACAAACACTCATATATAATAATATTTTATTGCAACAAAATAACGATATAAAGAGAGAAAACAAGAAATGTTTGAATAGAAACTTGACCAAGCAATAATAGCTATTTCTTAAAGAAAAATCTATTCATTTGGATTAAGTGAAAATATATTAATACAATGTATCCTAAGTTCAAATTCCTAATAATTTGATCTATATCATGTTAATTAAGCAAACTCTATTGAAGTCTTACGTCATATGTTAAGAAATTTAATTTTCAGACTTGGAGTTATTAAATGTCAAAGATTATAAATCATAGTATTCAAAATGACTTCGATATGATTGTCATTGAACTTGACTTCATATCCTAGGATGAGACATGAAATACATTGAAAAATGATACATTTGAAAGTTAGAGGAATC